GGTGCCATGGCGTCAGCCTAGTCACAGCAGCGTCAAACTCCTGTGCTCAAGCAATCCTCCTGCCTCAGCCTCCCAAGTAGCTGGGACTACAGGCATGTGCCACATCCCGGCTAATTTTTTCTATATATTTTATCTGTCCAATTAACTTCTTTCTATTTTTGGTAGAGACGGGGTTTCGCTCTTGCTCAGGCTGGTCTCGAACTCCTGAGCTCAAACGATCCACCCACCTTGGCCTACCATAATGCTAGGATTACAGGTGTGAGCTACCGCGCCCGGACAAGGAATATAAGGTTTTAAATCCCCAATTTCCTGGTTATTATCAACAATTTCGCTCTTGCACCTCAGAGTTTGGGAAGATCATTCTTTCTTCTCCTGGCCTCCTATTGTCCTTAGGAGATAACTGTCTTTTTCCAGGAAAGGAAGCTGTGCAAGCGTCTAATTTTCAAATCAAGCAACCACGCACTAGTTCCTTCAGTTAATAAGATTGATTTAGAAAAGGCAGGCGACAAGCTGTCTCTGGAAAAGTGTTCTGGAGATATAGGTTGAGACCCATCTCTCCTTCACTGGTTTGTTCGCTCTAATTAGCTTTGAAGTTTACCAAAGACTTCTCTGGTCACTCGAGGCCTGTCCCCACCCATTCTCTTTTTTCTGGAAGACACTTGCACACACCTGCTAGGTCCTCATTAGAAACAAATTAAAACCTAATGGCTTAAAGATATGAGCACACATTGTCTTACACCGATTCTCAGAGTCAGGAATTCAGGAACGGCTTAGCTGAGTGGCTCTGCTCTGGGTGTCCTGTGAGGTCCCAAATGTTGGCCTGATTGGAGTTAGATGGGAACCTACGCCATACTTCTTCATTGTTTCCACCAATATATATAAAGTAAAAAACATCATTCTGCTTACATCTGCTAACTCTAGGTCTTACAGATTCTCTTGACCTATCAGTTATAGTTAAAATGGAATTAATATTATAGAAAGAAACTTAGGAATCAATAAATGTAATTCTTCTTATTTCAGAGAAGGAAAAACAAAATGATTTTTCCTAGGTCGTTAGGTATTGTCAGAAACAGGACTTGACTCCAATTCCATTTTTCACCCTGTTAGGCCTGTTGTTCTCCATAGTGTGATACTCAGAGCATTGGTGGGGAAGTTCCACATACAGCACAATCATTTAATTATTTGCCAAAGCAAGTGTCTCCCCAATTCCCCACACCTCAACTGCAACCAGGCCATGGCATAATATTTCTGGAAAATCTATTCAGGTTCCTTCTAAGCACTTCCTTTTCTTTAAATTAAAAAAAAAAAGCATGACATTTTTACTCTTTAAATGCTAATAAATCATCTGTTTGATAATGTATTTTAAACCTTGTGAATGGGAAATTTTACTAGACTGTGTTTCCTGTAATCTGCATTTTCCACATTTGTAAAAATCTTTACCTATCTTCAATCCCCTCTTCTTGTCTTCATTATTTCACAAAACTCCCCAACAATGACTCTGTCACACTTTTGTGTTTTAGTGGTGAGATTTGTATTTGTTCAGACTCAGAGACTCTAACTCCTGTTAACTGTCCAGATATCATCTTAGTATTTTTTTCTTTTATGTCAGATTTGAATCCCTCTTCATGGTATTTGTTTTATACTTTCCAATTTGAAGATCTTTATTCTCTGAGAAAAAAGAGACAAAATAAGGGCCATTGTGATTTTTCTTCCAGTAAACTGCAGTTTATTCACTATCTTTTCCAAAGAATGTGCAGTTCCTTCCTTCCTCATTTTTTGACTTAGAACATACTCGTTAAAGTCTTCCTTTCACTGCTCTGCCATAAAAGGAAAGAGGAAATGCCTTAGGTGATGATTTGGAATAAGCTTCAAGATGTATTGGTGAGTGAGGCAAGCATAGTGCAGAATTATAAACAGGCTATACTATTTTTGTGTAAAATTGGAAGAAAAGAATATAGACTATATTTCATTGATTCTAAGATGCACATATTTTCACATTTTTGTTATCTCTGAAAGTATAATGCATTGCATAACAGATGTCATTTCATAGTTTAATTGGCAGGACTTTTTAAACATTTTCTTTTGTAGTAGTATGTATAATATTAGCACATCTTACAATCAATGACATCTTAGGTTTGATAAAATATGTTATTTGCATTTGTTTGCATATGCATAGAATTTTCTCTGGAAGGATTCTCATGAAACCAGTAAAATAGATTGCTCATAGGGAGGGGAATTAGGTGGCTGGGGAACAGAGGTGACAAAATTTCTATTGCATTTTCTTTTGTATCTTTCACATTTTGAATCATCACTGTGTTAACAAATAAAAATTTCAACAATAGATTCCTGGCTGGGGTTGGTGGCTCCAACACTTCAATCCAGTTTGGAAGGCTGGGCAGGCAGAGTGTCGAGGTCCAGGAGTTTGTAACCCGCCTGGAGCAACGAGCAGGACCGCCTCTCATAAATGAAGAAATTGAATTGGCCATAGTATATATAGAAAACTCTGGCCGGCATGGTGGGCATGGCCTGTATCCAGTACTCGGGAGATTGAGGCCAGGAGATCACTTGAGGCGGAGTTTTTGAATTGCTGTGAGTAGGCTGCTGCACGGCACGTCATTAGCCTGGAGCAACAAAGCGAGACTCGTGTCTCAAAAAAGAATTTAGATCTCTATTACCAAAGTAAACTGTAATTGAGTTACACCACACTTCTTAACTGCACACAGTTCTGTTGTTTATCATCTGGGCGATAACACGGCTTGCGGAAGGAATGTGCATTGTGCATAGTGTCTAACAGAGTCAGAGGGTGTGCTGGTCATTGGACTAATCCAAATATATTCTTTCAACATCTGGTCACTTGTAAATCATTAACCAGATCTTTGTTGGTTAAAACTAAGTTCAATATAGCTATTTTCCTCATTGCTTCCTTTACCTTCCTGTTGATGAAATTTTTCCATAAGGCAAGGCATAAATATATCAATTGCTTTGCTTTTATTAGATTTTGACTTCCTGTAGAATCATCAAACAGCATCCAGGGGGATGAGGAGAGAAACATCTTGAAAGGAAAAGAAAAACATTTTAATTGGTGCCAGTGCACTTAGCAATAATTGAGTTACTATGATAGTGCATATGCAGTGTTTACTAAATGAACTAGGAGGCCGCCACGAGTGTTACCCAAAGTTCAGCACTTATCCTCAAGGCCACAGCAGAAGAATGAACAAGTGTTTTGAGGAGAAGGAAAGAGAAGTTTATTACTTTGCCAGCAAAGGAGGAGGATGGAGACTTCTGTCTGAAGAATGCCATCATCTTAACAATAAGCAGAAATACAGAGCTTTTCCATTTTCTTTTCTTTT